TGATCCCTGTGTGTCAGATGTTATGGAACCAGCTTCGGTAAAAGTAACTCATTTGGCCAGTAATCCCACTAGGCTTTGGCGAATCATTCACACGTCCGGCTACACAGTTAAAGCCTGCTATTCATGCACATTTTCCGCCTTAAATAGCACTTAACCCACTGCATACGGTGAATATGTAAAAAAACAAACAAACAACAACCAATCACGGAAAGTTTAGTCGAAGCAGCCGAAATACTGTAGTATATTCGTCATTTAGTATACGAGAAACTACTCAAGTGAGACGACGCACTCCATAGTAAGGACTGAAACGACCAGGTAAAAGTGAAACAACGCACCTTCAATTCTAGAAGGCCGTGCCGGTAAGTTTCAAAAGTGCTAAGCCCATCCCACGCTATCCGACCATATGACACCACGGTATTCTACTAGGATGAGAAATTAAATAGGAATTGATGTCAAAGTCAATTCCTTAAGCGTTTTCAAGCCTCTAAAATGTATCCTGCCAACCTACTTGCTCAGCGTGTTACCTGCAGGTGCTCATGCGGAAACGCATGCTATGTGACTCGTACCTAGCGCAGAGGCTGTATTTCCCGAGCCGCCGTACTGATTGAACTCCAATTTGTAATACTAATTTGCAGTATATATAGCTCTTGGGAACAGCCGCGGTAAACATCTGAAAGAGATTATGTCAGACGACGGTCGACATGTTTTGGACATCTTGTGTCACCTATGCCACCGTAAATGTTAAATATGAGGTGAGTATGCAGGCAGAATGTTGGGTGTTAGCAGCACATGCTCTAGAAACGCTCAAGTAACAGCGCAAAAATATCTGGCTGAGAAGAAAAAGGCATGGAAATAGCTGACTGTTTTCACTGACTGAGTTTTCAGAAACAGAAGTGCATTCGAGTTTACCATTGTTTCACATATCCAGGACCTTCGCACGCTTCTCATGAGGGGGCATTGGACTCTGCCGCGCCGCACCGCTGCCGATGACATCGTCTCACTCCCGCCAATTCCTCGCTCAAAATCTCTCTATTCGCCGATCGCCATCGTCGACGTCGGATTCGGAACCAGCGTTATTCGTGGCGAAAGCGCGAAGCCTCCCAGAGCGGGTGTCATTTGTAACACGCGTGGTAGATTACGCCGGGCAATTTGGTGGCCGCGTTCCCGGTCCCCCGGGGCATATTCTGCTGGGCTGCACTTTGTCCACGCTGGAGACGCTCGGCCTCATGCGTCTGTCACGAGCGACCTCGAAGTCATCACGGGGGAGGGACTGGTCCCACAGGCACGCAAGCAGTCTTGCGTGATTAGATGAAAGACTGCTTTGATCATAAACTGATGCATGATTGCATGATTGCTCATGCATCAGTTTGGGCCATACGAGTTGACGGCTTCCTTTTAGGGCATTTCTAAGCTATTATAATTTGTTGTGTTTGGGTTTTCAAGTAACGTGAAAGAAGCGTTCTGGTTCCTGTATTATGCAAGATAATGCGTGTCACATATGGTAACCCAGATACGATTTAGCTTAACAGTTAGCTAAGCAGCAAATATGAACATATCAATCACTTCAAGAACGAGATCAAAGGTCAGGGCAGACCAAATTAAGTGCAAAAAAGCTTGGGTGGTCTGATTCCCACGTCATTGAGTTGTGGACATCCTCCGTAGTGACTGGTCTTCTGTGACGCATGCCTCTGAATGTCAGGAACATGATGAAATGAACCGATGCTCTTGCTGATGGAATCAGTTCATCCCATTGTTATGGCTGTGCAGCTCAGATGATGTCGTACTCTACCAGCTGCTTCATGACCAGGAATTAAATTGGTTTTCGAATAAAACATTGCGGAGAAAAAATTGGGGAATTGAAAAAAACTGAAATATATCTATCTGAAATAAATTCGACTCGGAATGCATGCCTGTCCGAGACCATTCGTAGACACGCGCTATCAAGACTCCGACAGAGATTGCATTGATAATAATATACCTATTTAGCAACCCCCCCCCGTTTGGCCAGATGAGGGATGCTATTCTTGTTCCTATCGGCCCCCTGCTCCACCAATTTTGGACTGAAACTAGGCTAAACTGCCCAAGAGCAACTAAAACAGCAAAACATCTTTGGCGGAAATAAGACTTTTGCCTCTCATCCCCAGCCTTATTATTCAACGATCTGGGACGCCGCACCTGAGTCCTCTTTTGTTCCGCACACGACTATTGCAAATGAGTTGTAGATGATCTCTTTTAGCTCTAAAACCTCGATCACAGTGCATCACTGGACGTGTTGGGGCAGGCTAAGTCTGTGTAAAGCCTTCCTTATTGACGAAATAAACACTAATTCGAGAGCACCGCTGAAAACTGCATGAATTATGTATTAAGGCATAACGAGATTCTCGTTTTGCACCACCTAGTCACGCGGAGTTTTCAGATGGATTAACTTTTTACCTTCGTCCAGACTTCGGTAGCTTGAGCAGCATTGCTCACTATCATCTAACTACTCATCGATTTCCACAGCGCGCGTACAAAAGCCACATGCTTCAGAATTTTTAACAGGCTGTGTATGCGTATTAAGAGTATCAATAGTCAAATATGGGACGGCATATCTTGATTCGCATGCCAAACCAAGATAGCAAGAAAACAATACGACAGGTTGTGGCGTATGCTCCCAAAACCGTTATGGCACGTTCAGAGCAGCCTTTATACTTCGTCTTGTCTTTTCAACAGCCATGGTATCGTCTACTCTGCTTCTGAGACCCTTTGAAAGCTCCTTTCGGTGGGTAGCGTAGTTATCGCCCGACGAGCGCTTTTTGCTGTCTCCCAACAGGGGCTTGAGAAACCCACTTAAGATCTCGGATACTAAGCAAGCTGGAGCCATGTGAACACAGCATTGGAAAGCTCTTATCAAATTGCATCCAATAGGTGTGATTAAACAACGATGAATGCTATCTTTGACTATACATATAAGGTGATAGGGATAGCATCATCACTTGCTAGACCCCTCCGTATGGATCCCATCCTAAACTAACCACGCTATGACAATGTGAAATACGGCGTTAGGTAGCTATAAGAAAACTCCATTGAATGGGCACTGGTCAATACCGACGCGTATGGCCTGTGATGGATCATGTCAGATCAAAAAAGTGAAGGCTGTTGCATTGCTCCGTTCGCCTGTGTTAAGAATTAGGCAAGCATTGTCATAGGGGCAAGCAGCGCTAGAAAGGCCTTCAAAAACTTTCAGATGTGAGCCACCAAGGTTTAAATCCATAGCCCTCCTTAGATCAACTCTTGCTGGATCTTTATTATTGCTGGTCCTTGAATGAAATGACTACGAAACAACAGCCAGGGTGGTGATAGTGCTCTTCAGATTAATAACATTAAGGAAAACAGCGTAGAAAGTTTTTGAGGTACGTTCCCAACGTTATTCATCACTTTTTCACAAATGCAAACGAAATTGTCTCGAAAAAGGAGGACGTACACCATGAAACTCCAATGTCAGAAGCTCGAATGCTCTTTACATAAACAAAAATGACTTAAACTCATCTATCAGTTAAAACTCATACCATCATCTAACATTTTGGCGACGCGCTCAAAACCGCTCAAATTTTGTTTTTGATTCTGTGATGACGTTTGAAGCTCCTCGTTGTGCGAGGTTTAATGCATTTCGCGAATAACTTGTACATAATAAACTCTTGTTAAACGATTTATGGTGCACATTGAATATCGTTGGCAGGTGTTTGTTAAGTCAATAGAAGCAAGAAAGTTGGCAACTAGCGCTCAGTCAAAGTTTTGAGCACGTCGTTTCTTCTTCCCCTGTCTGCCAATTTTCTCCACCCTTTTTTTTGCTGGGTACACAAGAGAGCCATGAAAAGCCTCTTTGGGATGAGTACGTATTGTAGAAGCAGCATGCATCTCAGGACGCCCGTGTGGTTTGTTGTGGTTACATAACACATATTTGTTGGCCTCTTGCCGGTGGATATCGATGTCCTCCGCAGCTCATGAATTTCGGATATTGGGTTCTATTTTTTCACCCAATCAATCACACATCAGATCAGCATTTAGCTGATACACACAGGGATCAGCTAAATCCCAATGATTGGCCAGTGGGCTCTGGTAAGGAGCAAGTGCCCCGTTGTGACGTAGGTACTGTTTGTTTGTCTATGTTTGGAGAGGGCATTAAGTACGCTGCTTTAACGGCCTACCGTAATTTTCTACGCCAAAGAATATATGGTAACTTGAGCGGTCGTGGTCAGTGGATCATGGACATTTTAAAAAAAAACAGCTTTTAAGTGCATTTGACACCGTTAAAGCACGCAGACGGACGTAACATATAACATGCTAACGCGCTCTTAACCATTCCGCAACTCTCGGCTTTTGCACTCAGAACCAAATTGATCAGGTTTTGGACGCAACGCCTATATGCACTATGGCAACGACTCAGACAAAGTCTTGGTCACATCTCGCATCACCACTAGGGAGCGTGACGCCCAACACGTGTGCATCTCCTGTCGGACTTCATCCCAGCGTCGTGACCCTCCACGGCGAGCCTGAGGAGCGCCGCGCGGTAGCCACGCCGTCTCGGGCCGGCAGGGTGGCGGCGGGCGGCCGTCGTCGCCCGCGCCGGCCGGCCACAGGCGGCGGCGCCGTCGACACCGACGAGCCGGCCCCCGATGGGCGCAGGCGGCGCGCGCCTCCAACGGCCGTGCTGTCATTGGTTGGCGGCGACGGCCGGCGCCGCAGCCGGCGCGCGAACCATCTTGTAGCGCCTTCGATCCGGCGCCGGGGGCGGGGCCAAGACACCACGTGACCGCTGGCTCCAGCCTTCCTCTCCCCGGTTTTAATCAAGACTAATGGCACGGCAGCCGGAGACCTGACAGGCCCATTTTTATTGGTCGGCGCAACAGAGCACTCGGGCAAATTAGGGGCCGGTCGGCGGCCGGCGGCGACGGTGGTCGGTGCGGCGGCAGCGGCGGCGCAGCGGCGGCGGCGGCGCAGCGGCCGGCGGCAGTGACCTGACCCGACCGCGCTGCGGGCGATCCGACCCACCGCAGACGGCCATGACGGGCCTGGAGCGACCCCCACCCGACGTGCTGCTTGCTCTGCTCTCCAGCAACAAGGCGCTCGAAGGTAAGCTCCGCGGGGCGAGGAGCGTACGACCAAAGCGCGGTAGTCGCAACGGGTCACTTCATCACGTTCTGGGACCGGACGTGGGACCGCCTGGTTTGAGACACCCGCAGCTCGGCCGTTTGACTTGGGCAACGATGCTGCTTTTACGGTGCTTGGTCGCCTTTGTGATTGTCGTATTGCGCATAGCTGGAATGACACACCCCATCATTAGGAAACCTGGCCTTTCAAAGGGCTAACGTAAGTGCCGTTAATTCAATGTCATGCAATGATGCATCAGTATTTTCTGCTACAAACCGGGGCTGAATCAGATCACATCGGAACTGGTTATTTAAAGGAAACCTTACCCGGTGTCGGCTAAAAACCTGGACCATTAAAAGGCCGGAATGGAGCCGGGTGCCGTCCACATGTGTTTGACCACGACATGACGAATCATGCAGACTTTGGTGTACGGAGGCAACGAAATAGGCAATGCAGACAGAGAATACGCTTTCTAAACTCCGGGAATGGTATGTTTCCGGGTTATTTTAAGGCTCTTAACCGAATACATGCAGAAGCCATAAAAGCCTACCCACCCCCAACGCGGTTAACCGCTATATCAACGTTTATTAAGCTCGACAATAAGGATACGTTGGACAATAAGTATGATCTCAACAATTAGTACAAGTTCAACAATCACGCATGGCGACAGACGGGTTGGCCAACATCGGCCGTTACAAAGGCGCGTTTTTTCGATCATTCGATATAACAGATATGACATTTATTAACAAAAAACAAAACAAAACGAAGCAGAACTTTAAAACATATTTTGACACGGCACCGCGCGTAACTTGTCCACCTATTGCAAGTCGGCGCCACTGTGCAGCCAAACCTCATTCGAGGTTTGGCTGCACAGTGGCGCCATTCGAGACCAACTGCACAGTTTTGGCTCCATTCGAGACCAACTGCACGTTCTGCGTCTGGATGTTGGACACAGCGTTCTAGGTGATGGCGGCCGTGACCGGCCGGGGAAGCCGCCGGGCAAGGGTTACCCAACTGTGAACCGCCGATAAAGCCGCCGGGCACGTGTCATCCAGCCGTGACCGGCTGGTAAAGCCGCCGGACACGGGTCATCCATCCGTGACCGGCCGGTAGAGCCGCCGGTCACGGGTCACCCAGCCGTGACCGGCCGGTAAAGCCGCCGGACACGGGTCATCCATCCGTGACCGGCCGGTAGAGCCGCCGGACACGGGTCACCCAGCCTGGTTGGTACGGGGTAGGTGTCCAGTAGCGAGACGCATCCACCTCACCTTCCGCCAGCACTGCGTTGCGGGATTTCTGCCACTGTTAGAACCAAATAGGCCACCGCATTGGAAGGGAGTCCCGTTTTTGACACCAGGGAGGCGCAAGTGCTAGCAGACTTGCAGCTAGAACATGGCAATAATTCGGTGGTCTAGAGCCAACTAACTCTCGAAGCCTTCCGTGTATTTGTTAACACATTCGTGGCCCTTGCTTTATTATTGCAACCATGGTTTTTTGCTTTAGAGTTAAGTTTTACCTCGATTTAGTTAAACTATAACATCGTATGATTTTCTCATTGTCGGCACGAAATCACAGCGATAACCATTTATTGTTAACATTTACAATACATATATATATATATATATATATATATATATATGCATATATATATATATATCATATATTTTGGGGCTCAGGCATCACATTTTTTGCCGTGGCGATAGCCTGATCTGATACGCTTCATGCTAAATATCATACCGCCATTTTATGACATCATTTTCAGTGTGCTACGCGATTTTATCTTCTAAGATTCTCAGATATTCTATGTTTGCCTCAAGATCTTAAGATGCTCCTTCGCATGCTTTCTGTCGCTATTGTTAATCGGCTGACAGCTTTTACATTGCTGTATTGGATCACTTGGATCGGAAGATAACCAACATGAACAAATGACAGTGCGATGAAGTTCCTGTCCCCTTGTGCTGGATTAACCGATGCGTCGATGTTAATGTGCTTATATACTTGAACGATGAGCTAATGTCCGTCCCATATTCTAAAGTCAGGCAGCTACGTAGGTTAGCCAGCTTTCAAAAGGAATATTAAATTATGATGCATGTTTAATATTCAACAAAACCTGATCAAGCATGCACACAGGCAATATTTCTGCGTGCCAACCAGTTATGACCATAGCTTTATAATCCTAGACTACCAATGACATTACTTACGTTACAAGCTGACGTAAAAAGGCAACCAACAATGCTGCACCGCGGACAGCCAAAAAGAAGCCTGGTGTCGGGCCGAGCGAAAGCTAAGGATGTGGACACATGCAGTGTTGAACACAGGTGCTCAGATCAGATCGCATCCCCAAAGTAATCTTTCCTATTTGCACCAAAAAGTATCCAAAAAGAGTGCCGTAGCGTCACAGCGAATTCGAAGACTCTTCTCGTGCATTCCGGCAGCACTGTTTTTTTCTTCTTTCACGTGATTCAGTCACGCGCGAACCCACCAATCCCGGCGCTGTCAAACACGCTAGCACCAGCCGCACCAAGGAGTCACTGCACCAGCCGCCTGCTTCACCACCAGCACCACGAGCGATGGACCTTGCCACCGTCACCACCAGAGACGGGCCGTGGGCCGCGGCAGGTCCTGTGCCGCTCCTCGCGCCGCCAGCCCCGCCGCCGGACCTAGCCGGCCAGAGCCGCGGATGTCACTGGGGCATCGGCAGAGCGTCCCGCCAATATATCCTGCCCGTAATTTAATTGTATGCCATTCTTGCAATTGCTCGTTTTTTAATCCACCATATTATTTTCATGCCGGCACTCACATAGATTAGAATCCGTGCCTATTAGGCGCCCTGATCGAATTACGGGCCGCTATTGCTGATTGTGCCCGGGCGGCTGCTGCGTCGCACTGTCGCTCGGTGTCCCGGGGTCGGTCCGCCATTTCGGCGATTAATTCAGCCGTCTCCGATCCGGCGGGCCACGGCCGGAGCCGCGGCCGGCCGGGTCGGCCGCCGACCTGGCCGGCCGCCGACCCGGCCGGCCGCCAAACGGACACGAGCAGGGCAGGGCAGGACGCGGGGATTGAAGATAGGTGCGGCGGCCAGAGCGGGCCGGAGAGGGGAGCAGCGCCAGGGTGAGGCGGAAAGAGGCGCGGCGCCAGAGTGGGCCAGAGAGGGGCGCGGTGCCAGAGCGGGCCGGGGAGGGACGCGGCGGCCAGAGCGGACCAAAGAGGGGCACAGCGCAAAGTGTGTCGAAAGGAGGAGCCGCGCCAGAGTGGGCCAGAGAGGGGCGCGGCGGCCAGAGCGGACCGGAAGGAGGCGCGGCGCCAGAGTGGGCCAGAGAGGGGCGCGGCGCCAGAGTGGGCCGAAGAGGGGCGCGGCGCCAGAGCGGGGAACGGACCGTGAGTGAGCTCAGAACGGATTCAGGGCGGGACCAGGGCCGGGTGCAGGACAGAATAGGCCCGTCGATATTGGTCAGCGTACAGAAGCGATTGGAAACAGCGGTCGGACTGGTGCGGATGCGGGGGAACCCTTTTTCCTGAAAAATGTACTGTGTCGTAAACCACTGCTTAAGGGATGGTGGGGGGATGTGCAAATGATCATTGGTAGGGGTGGGCATGTATTATATGCGCGAACTTATACCAATGCACTTTTTATATATATGTACTTGTGAAGGCCCGTGGCTCGAAGGCAGATACATTTTAGGCCCAAATGGCTCCAAAACTGTATGGACTGTGTAGACACTTAATAATTCCGCTAAGCATGAGTCACTTTTGCTGCGGTTATTACTGATATCCCTCAACAAGCTGCAAGTTGCAATTTTAAACACAATTATACAATCTTGAACGGTTCGTGTGACGTCATCGTACGGTTTATTTAACGTATCGTGCTGTAACAGTCCGCAGCTCATGCCACTTCTGCAGAGCCCAACGATGTAAAATTAACCTTCCCGCTGTTACGTCGGGGACTTCATGACTGCAAAAGTGGCAAATTAACGAATAGTTTCCATCCAGCCCTTCTCTCGTCTGCCTGTGATGAACACAAACAGTTCCTTCCCGTTCGGTGAACATTATACCTGCGTTTCATAACTAGCCATTCATGTCAGCAGGACAGTATACAACAGCCCCGGTTAACTGGTAATGAACCCTTTTCACATGTTTTGGTAGTCTCCTGAATCGGCATCGGTCGATTGCCTGAATGAGTCCGTGAGGGCGGGGGGGGGGGGGGGGGGACAAAGAATGCAGCTTCATAAAACACATGCGGTTCCAAAACCAGAATGTTCTGACGCATGACAGTTTATGTTCGATTCTAGTCATTAGCGAATCTTTTGTGGTTTGAGTCCCACATTGAAACTAAAACGTATCAGGTGTACAGCAAACATTGAAAGTGACGTGGGACAACACAACCAAAAGGCATAAGACCAGTTGACATAACCATCACGCGTGCATCTTCATTATTTGTGTGGTTTACTCTTGTGTGGTTTGCTCTCTCGAGCACCCCACTTAGCTGGCAAAGAAAAAGTGATAAAGGTGATCCTTACAACTATCTTAATCCTTTCTTTGCACTCTGTAATGTGTGCCTGTGCCACTCCGATAATAAGGACACTAGAGGGTGAAGGGGTGAAAATACACGTGAAGCAGGTCATGCGGGGAACAGCGCGGAGGTCATGTGTAGTCAATGACGTAGCCAAGCGGGCTTTTGGACTTACGATTTTCCCTACAGATATAGAGACCCAAAGGAGCCGCCTTTCTGGACCGGCAACCCTTGTAAAGTTTTGACATTTTAAAACGTCGCAGGTCTTCTAAAACATTACAAACCGAACCTTGAGGCAGCACAATGGAACTCCGAACCTAAAAGGTCCCCCAATCCAAAAACATGGCCCCTGCACCAACAATGAGAGGGTCTCTTGTCTAAAAGGACCCGCGTTGCCCCGATTTGGCCCCTCCTGGGCGAAATCCTCACCTCGGTACCGTGTGTATGGCTGTATAATTACGAGAGACAAGCG